CCCCCCCCCCCCCCCCCCCCCCCCCCTGTAGTTAAAAAAAAAATATATATCATTATGCTCTACGATCGACGTCTGTTCCCTTTGTTGTTATAATGACGCTGTCCAAGATGCCAACCTGGCTAAGACGAGTTCTGTTTCTCCTCTACAATGGGTGTCTCTCTTGGACAACATACCGACTGTTCATGAGCGCTAAGACACTTTCAAATCAATACTGGGAAATTTAAGCAGAAGGAAAACCTAGCCAAATCATGTTCCCTTCACCAAAACACAATAGCCGAATAGAAAAAACAAAACCAGAACAAAAAAATGTGCATGTGTTGGGTGGAAAAAATGACATCAGTTATAACTCCCAAACACGACCCTTCAGTTGAACCCGATCCCCTCGACCGTAATCGACATTGGCAGCCCGGATTTATACAACTTGACCCCCTAGCTTCCCCCCTACCCGTCATTAAATCTTTACGCACACAAAGTTTCAAACAGGGGCTTTGGGAATTTGATAAGGGGTTGTCCAGAAATATTGGTAGGAAGCCAGGATGCAAACAATGGATACCACTGTTCGAGAAAAGCAAGCAAAAACAAAATAGTGAAAACAAGTTTTGAAAAGTATGGGGGTCAAGAGAAGAAATATGGTGTGGTAAATGAGGTGAACCCACACACTCAAAGACATAGCACCCCAAGTGCATGATACACTGAGAGGCAGAAAACGGGAAGAGGGGGAAAGGGAGGGGAGGGGGGGGGGGTATTCCAGAATGATTCCTCCTGAAAATAAAAAGCAAACGAAACAAGCAAGGCAAACAAGTTGTGCACATGCACATCACGGGAGACATTCTCACCGAAGGAACCACAGAATTTGCTGGCTCGTTGCAAGGGGTCTTATATAAGGCACATGGGATAAGCAAGTGATATCCTTTGACTGCCTTCTTGAAGAAAGAGAACATTACGTTTTACCCCCACCCCCACCCACTGATTTGCTTGTGGCTTGTCTAAGGCTACCATGGGTGGCAGTGATTTCCACCCACCAAACGCAGACCTATCATCGATTTGTTTGTTTGAGTAAAGAGAAGCACATCGACACAGTCATGGTCATTTAGTGCCGGGAAAAGGTAAGACAGACAGAAAAAAGAGGGTAAGTAAAGAAGTAGGACCTACTAGTAGCGCCCTACAACCGCCCGCTGACCTATAGATGCCACGCTCAACTCACATCCCCCAAATATACCAGGGGGTCCTTCCAACAAACCAACAGCCGGCTTATCAATGACACCTACATGTAGTAGCCATACATCGACCTATCACAGAAGGCTATTGACCTGTCAGAGCTATTCACCAAGCGCCAATTGACCCTGCCAGTAACCAACCATCTACTAACCCATCAATCTCAAACACAACCACCTATTAACCTACCGATGGCACTCTGACTCACCCAACCCCTATAGATTTACCGGCAGCACCCACCAATCATCCATTGCCATGCCAACCACCAGTCATCACTCAACCACCTATTGACCAACACTTGCAGCGCCCACCAAACTCCCACTGACCCACCAGTAGCACCCACAAACCACTTATTGACCTGTCCGTGGTACCTTCAACCTCTCCGTGACCTACGCGTGGTGGCAAGAGCCCCCAAACAATAACGGTTTTCCACCTGCAATAAGCTATTGTTGTGTAGATTGCACTGTATTGTATGCTTCCCGGGAAAGCTGAAATTGTTTCAGAACGCTATCAGGTCTGCAGGGGGCAATAATAATATAGATTGTAAAGCGCGTAGAGCTTGCTCTTGTGAGCAAGAATTTGTGCTAAACAAATGGTATTTATTTTAGTTTTTTTAAGTTAAAACAAACTTAAAGCAAGATTTTTACAGCACTTGCAACACAATAGGGTCATGTAAGTGCCGAAGATACTCATTTATAGTAGATTATTGACGGCACCCCCAAACATAGTGGCCGGGTCGTGTGCCGCCGGGGGGGGGGGGGGGGGGTGGAGGGTCAGATCGCCATGAGCCCTAGTCCTGAGCTATAGGCTGTAGCTGCCAGCTGTCCCTAGTCAGGTCTAGTCAGGTGAGGTCGGAGTAATTACTGGGCGCCAGCTGCTCACGCTCTACGATCCACGTCTGTTCCCTTTGTTGTTATTGGTTTTCCTACGTGAGATGTAGGCTTCCGCTTTTCGCCTAGATTATCTATCTGATATATTATATACACACACACACACACACACACACACACACACACACACACACACACACACA